AGTTGTGTCAAACAGAGGTTAATTATTGTTCTTCCAAACAAAAAAATGTACATTGCAGTAAATTAATGATTGTGGTGAGTATTGAACCTGAGAGGTGCATGTTAAGTATTCATAAAAGTAAATAAGAAACATTTTTTTTAATAGAAAAATAATCAAACCCAGACTTTTTTCTGTTACGCAATTTTTATGGTAACTTTCACATATCTAATGTGATGATTATCTCAAATTTACAGTAGACCTATTAGCAGTTTAGCAGAGAGCAGAGAGCAAAACAATAAAAAATCTTGTGAAAAAGTCAGTAACCGTGAAGAAACAACTTTAAACTGGCGCTTGCTGGCTTAGACTCTAATGGCAGCCTATAAAGTAGAGTAAAATATAAGCAATCAAACGCAAACAAATAAACATTCTAAACAATTTCGCGTAATTATATTTGTAATTTACTAACTGCGCCAACAAAGCCTAGTAGTATGTGTGTGAATAAATTTTTGTCAGTATTTTAGTCGCGGTCAATGACTAGACGGACGGCAAGCTCTAGTCCGCTTGTGAAAAGTGAACACATAAAGAATAATATATACTTTTAGGCGTTCTAGCTCTTAGTGCGGTTGTATGCAAGCAGTCGTCCGAAGTGTCGGTGTATGTTTGCCTTTAGCGGGGAACTGTTTCAGCTTTCCCACAATTACGCTGTTTCCACGTTTTTCCACAAGTCAGCAAGTTTCCATTGTTTTGTCGAGTATTAATTCTTATTGCCAGCATTAATCAGAAACAGCTCTTAAGATAACTCTAAACAATTAGAATAAAAGTTGGAAAGATTTGCAACATGTGAATGCAAAATTATTGGGCTACTTTAATTCCAGAGATATTTTCTGTGATACTTTAGAGTGATAAATATTTTTGAAAAATATTTTTTGAAACTATTTAGTGATTTAAGAAATTATTTTAAGTGAAGAGGATCCAGAAGATTTCTAAAATACATTTTTTATTATACTTGTATATATGTGTAAAATATATATTTTATTAACTGTTTAGCCATCTACCGACTGACGAAGCGGAATACAGTACACACGGGCAGGAGCTGAAAGCAGCAAAACGCCAGCTGTTCGGTCATAAATGAATACAAAGGCAACTTTTGCTAAGCAGTCAAGACAAAATTAATACAATTTGTAAAAATATATGTTCGTCTCCCTGGGAACGGGTACTATATACAGTATACGTTATTGATATTAGTCACGCAAAAGTTGGGAGAACATAAAAGACTTAAGACACGAACTTGCCGTGCTTGAGTTAAAGGAATTAAGATGTTAACCTGAAGAAGTTCTGGTGTAGTGGCTTGAATGAGTTCACAAGAAACGGAAATAGTTAAAGAAATGTGAGAAAATGATTTTTCATTACTTTTTGCATAACTTTACATATATACTATGAATGAAGTCTATTAAAAATTCTTTGAAGTATTAACTAAATCAAATTTGAGTAGAAAAGTATTTAGTTTTTACGGTTTAATATTTTTAGAGTTTTTATATATTATTAAAAAATAAGAAATTCTCTTATTTTAATTGTCATTTTTATTTTATTTTGATATATTGTTTCTAAGTTTCAATTTCTTCGATTTTTTTAATTATTAATTTTTCTCACAATTTGTAAATCTTCACAGTTAAAAAACAGATTTTATATATAGTATATTTTAATTTTTTTTATTATACTCTTAAGCAACATATAACTTTCTATACAAATACTGTCAGTCCTTATAAAATTTAAGTTTTCCTAGAAAAGCAGTAGAGATAACCCTCTTCTTCTAACAAGTCAGGTTGGAAAAAAATTAAATATTTTGAAAAGATGTGAGAATCAAGCAACTGAAAGCACTCAATGTGTGGCAGAAAACAAAAATAAGAAAAATTAATTATAAAAAAAAAACCTGAGAAACTGTTGCACAAAGGTGCGTTCAGCAAGTTCCTTTGCAAGTACACACACAATACCACCTTCACATACGCTTGTATGTAGATATGAAAGAGAGCAGCAGTAATGATACACAATGAATTTTGAGTGGTCGCTTATTACTTATAATGACGGAGTGACTGCCAAACCAACTACCAGATGAGCCACACTGAACGTGAAAAGCAGTCATCTCGAAAGCTGAAAGTGAGTGAAGGAGCAGTTGAGAACTAAAAAGAAAAAGTAATAAATAACGAAAATTTCACCTTTGAATGATTTCATGGAATTGTATAATTTAGTTATGTTGTCAGTTATCTTTACCGCCGCCGACGCCACCAATGAGTAGGTTGTTAATTGTTCTTTATTATAGCTTACAAATGGTTGGCGTCGAAGCAGCGAAACTACAAATTATTCCAAAAATTTTGTCAAAATTTGAGAAAAGAAAAAGTGAATTTAATTTAATTAAAGCTTCTGGAGATTATTTCTTGAACTTCTATATACAAAACTTTTATCTAAAAATGCTTACTCTATCTTGGGACATTTGGTTAACTAACCAAATTCACCAACTTCTACACCAACCATCTCAAAATAGAAAGATTAGCGTTTTCCAAATGGACTTAGTTGTACTTAAAACATGTTTAAGTGCAAACGTAGGCACAATTGGTATAAACCATATATCTAAGAAATATTTTGTGGGCGAAACCATAGCTAAGTGGCAGAACTTAAAGCCTAATAGAGACTATTTAAAGCATTTAACGATTGAAAAGGCGCCATGGCCCAAATTTAAATTAATTTAGAATAAAATACATAACAAAAAAAAAAAAAGCAACAACCAAATAAACCACAGTTGAAAAATTCCAAAAATATACAGACCTCAATAAAGTCAATTTATTGCTCATCATCGCACAGCTTGCGCTCGTAAGCACTCGACTCAGCAGCCCCTTATTAACCAGCTTTTTTGTCGCGCATAAAACAAGTTTGTAAATATAATTTGAACACCTAACGCTAATGTTGTACAACAACAATTACTAATTTGCGTTTTTGTTAAATCTTCTAAATTTAAATAAATTTGTCTTCAGATAAAATATTGCATATACATATGAAATTTGAAGGCCAATATAAGTCATCATTAGCACTATACTTGTATTCAAAACAAAAAACAAAAAACAAAAAAAAAAAACTTCAGAAATCACGATTTTGTGATATTTTTCAATCTGGCTACTTAAGATGACTTTTCTCTTTAAGAAAAATAAGTAAAACCCAAAGTCAACAACCAATCAAGATATGTAAAATTCACATATGACGCTATTTGGATGAGCACTTTTGGCAAGCACTATAAAAATAAACACCCTGTGGCGATCGCCTTGATTGAGTGTAGGAAATAAGCGGCGCAGTTGTGACGTGATGCGCGTGCTCTTTTGGCAACATTCAATTTAGTGACATTGTTTTCTAGCTCCTCGCCTGCTACTTCTATTTCGCGCTTAGCTTAATTGAATTTATTATTATTATATTCTTGGTTTATTTTGTGCAGTTAATTAACTTTGGTTTTGTTTGCGAATTTCGGAATTAAAAAATTCGACAACAGGTGTTTGTCAGCTGAGCGGTATTATAGTAATTGAATCCCACACGCACCTCTTTACGTAAAATCTTGACATGAATGCGCGTCTTAGCCACAAAAACGTTAATCTTCCTACTTCATATATTATATGTTATGTTATATGTTATGTATGCCCACGGAAATTTTTAGTTTTCCGCAGCTTTCATTTTTACATCTCGAAATTACGGGATGTTGACATTTGACTCGAAAGGAGTGTCTGAATTATGATTATTATAATAAAATAAAATTCATATATAAACCCGAAATTACATTACAATTAAATCATAGTAGTTTATTATATGTATAATGCCGATTTTTCGTTATCCTGAAACTGTTACTTTAAAATTGTTAGATACATATGCATTGTATGTGTTTAGATATGTATCAATACTATTGATATTTGATCGCCAAAATTTTAATAATAGAATTTAAAGTTTTCAAGACTCAAATTTCGAGAATACCATGCAAATTAGTGCTTTCATATAATTTATTTATAATTATATATAGTCTACTCAAAAGTTTTAAAAATTTTTAAACAGGCCTCACATTGAAGGCGTAATTTTATAAGAAACACTTTTGTTGGGGAATAACATAAATAACAAAATATCATTTTTATTCTTATTTGGTTTTTTTTTTTGTGCTAGTGTAGATCAAACTTACGTAATCTAGCACCAAAACTATTAGGTGTACAACGTTGCTTTCGCCGTTTTATTTTTTGTAAATTTAAGGCTATATTGTATAAAAACGGCCCAAAAGTGTTTTCCCTTATTCCCCCAAAAAGCAATGCTTAATTAACACACAAAAGGCTTTATGATCAATTTCTTTGTAAACAAACACAAGTTGCTTTACAAAAATTCTATATTTTTTTAATACCTAATAGAAATGATATAGATGGTAGTAGTAGAGTAATAGTATTATCTGTGTATGTGTCAGCCTCAGTAAAGTGTGGACGGGTTCTCAGCCGCACTTTTCTTGGAATTAAAAAAAGAAAAGCAAAATTTCCCGCAAATATCGAGAATTCGGCTCAAAGAGTGACATTTTCAGTTAAGAATAAGTATGCAAACAGATCTCTACAAATTTTTTGTTGTGCTAATGTTGACACAAATGTCCAAGATCGATATAAAACGATTTAATCCATTTTATCGACTAGTGCTTGACTCTAAAGACACCTAATGGAAAACGGCGGAAGCAAAGTTGTAGACCTAAATAATTGATGTGGGTGCTTTCTTAAAGGCGCTGAGCATCCTAATTTGCATATTCTTTGCTCAATATTCACTAAAAACAGGAAATGATGAAAGCCATAAGTGTTTCGAAAATTTAAATAAATATTCCTACACATGTTTTTGTTTACACATACAAGTATAGGTATACGCTTTTGCAAATTTATTTCTACCGACAATGCTATATTGGCAAAACATACGAACGTATTCATATATTCTAATTTTATTGGCAATATTAATTTTGTATATCTACTCACCAGTCAAGAAATATATAGTTGTAGTTGTAGCAGACTTAATTAATTTAATCCAAGTCGCATTTGTTGTTTCCGTCGGTTGGCTGGTTGTTTTTAGCACACTCGAACACTTTGACAAACACTCTTTTATTTATTTCTATTATTTATTAACTTCATTGCATTCACATTTATATTTATATACGCGACATTTGCGACAGATGACAGGAGATATGTTAATTTTTTTACGAGATTTGAATATTTATTTTGTTTAAACTTCACAACCGAACACTTCATTTGTTTATGTACTTTAACTTTTGTATACATGTATATTTAAATTATTGCCATTATGTAGAAGACAAGGGGCTGCACTAAAAGAAATATAAAACATTTATAAATAAGAGAAAATAAATTAAGCTTAAGGTAAGTGAATAGAAGATAAATCAAAAGTTCAATGGCATGAAAATGTTCTAAATGTCTATGCATACACATGCACATGCAACAGACTGTTGCATTTTGATTCACATTATAAGCTGTATTTCCATTAGAACTCTCACCAAAAGCCACTCATGTTCTTCACAATCTCTCTTTATCATTTTTCTTTTAAGACACATTTATTCTACATTACACACTAACAAATTATATATATATGTGCATATAAATAAAAATGTTAATTCTCTGATAATACACCTGTCACACACAGCAGGTCTTTTATTTACATATGACTTATTTGAATATCTAAAAGTCTTTCTAAGCATACATACAGACACATATTATGTAAGATAGGTAGTAAAATAGACGACACTAAACAGCATGGCGCCTGTTGCATGATCATTTGAGCGCAAGAATTTCGTTTGTCATAGCAGAAAAGGGTTCGTAATGTAAGTGGTGACAATAAGGACATTTGGGAGCAAAATTGCCATTTTGTTTTTAGTAGTTAGGTCAATAATTGATAAAAATCGACCGGTTTGAGAATATTTGATGCTGAATTTGATACTAGTTTTATTTGAATAAAGAAAAAAGTATTTAGTTTATCAACCTGTTTTGCTTTTAAAGTGAAAAGAAAGCAACTTCGATAAATCTTTAGCATATGTGAATCATTTAAAGACATTTCGATATTGTTTATTCCATCAAATACCAAAAAAAAAAAAAAATATTGGTTTCCACAAATTCGACGGCTTATTGAATACTTATTAATATTGCAAGTTTATATAGTTCAGTCCTCTTTAGAGAAGTTACCAAGCGGAACTGATAACACTTTTTTGGTTTTGTTCACTGCATTCTCGGATCTCAAATTTGCTCAGAAGCGAATTATCGATTATTAGAAGAAATTGGGATCTAGTTGATCTACCAAATAGACCTAAAATATCTTTACCAAAATTTGAAGAGGTAATTTGTTTTCTTAAATTTGTAGAAATGTAGACTACGAAATCATGGATTTCATCAAAACTTTTCCGAATATCTTTAGTAAAACCAATTTATGAAAGATTTGTTCTCATCATAAAGAACGATTAGAATATGTTATTAAAGAATAGTTATTAAGTATTTGACTTAAATGTTATAGAATAAGATAGATATGTAAGCAAGAGTTGCCTGGAGATCCCATCAGGGAGTTCAGTTTTAGAATCTAATATAAGTGACCGAAGAATTATCAAGACGAAAAATATATTTGCTCAGCAACAAATTTGACTTTTCTCCAAGCACGAGTGAAAACGAAAATCCACATTTCCATGAAAACCAATATTTTCCACTTGCAATGAAAATATGAATTTTATTAATGTGTGACAGACAGACACACACGCGATGTGCCGTATCAAAATAAGCTGTGAGAATGCCGAAAATAACAAAATTTTCAACAGCTAAAAGAAATTCCACGAAATTGCTGTCAGCGCTTAACGCGAGTATGAGAAATAAAGCATAAAACAAAAAGCAAACAAAAGCAAAAACCGAAAAAAAAATAAATGAAATGAAATTGCAGTAAAAATTTGCAATATACTGGTTGCAGTTTAGTAAAAGTTGTTTGGCAACTTCTGAAGCAACTTAACAGCGCGCCGGCAGTGTCGATTGGGGGGTGGTGAGAAGTGACGATGCAACAAATATAACTCGCAGCGGCGTTGAGACACTGTGGCTTTGCATTATTTATGCTGTTTGTAAATATGTATATATAAATTTCATTATTCATGTATGTATTTGGCAGTCTGTGGCAACGAAATCCGTTTGCAACGCTTGGGTATCTGTTGAAACACAGCTGTTCTTACTATGCTTTTTGCTGTCGCCTGAAGCTGGTTGTTGGTTAACGGCACAAAAGCAGCACGAGCACCGGCGGTGCGGCAGCAAGCAAGTGGCAGTCGAAGGAAACGAGGTCAGCAGTTGCGCCGCCATATGGAAAAACGGCAGATAAACAGTTGCAGCAGCCGGCAGCGCAAGAAAAATGGCGGTTGAGAAAAAAGCAATGCAAATAAATGATAATAAAGTGCATGCGGCAATGGTTGTGGCACAAACAACAACAACAGCAAACATACAAAAATAAAACAACTTCATTGCATTTGCTCAAGTTGGTCGGTGCAGATAAGATGAAGATGAAGAAGCAGCCGCTGCACAGACTTAACGACAATTTGTTCAATAATGGTTTTGTTTGCTTTTTTCGTTCTTTCGTTTAAGTGTTGGTTTTGCACACATGTACCATTAGAAAGCGCGTACGCGCACTTTCAATACCAAATGCGTTGCGTGGCCTGCCACAAACCCACATTAAATTAGAAAGCCAACGGAGCGGCGGCATGCAGCGACCCGTGGTCTTGACAGTGTCTCGACCGAAAAGCTGCATATGTTTTTAGCGTGCAGCGTTTAGTTGGCTGTTGGCTCGTGCAAATTGTCTGACGCATGCGCATTGCTGAGGCGTTGCGTAGACGTTGTTGCAGATTTTTCCGGTTTCTTGCTATTATTTTTATTTTTTTTGCATTATAGTCTGCATTTGCTTTTCTGTCTGATTTTACTTAGTTTTTGTTTTCTTGTTGAGTCTGCAACTACGCTAGTGTAGGCAGCTACTTCATTAGTACAGTGCAACAATTTTCTTATTTGAATCTATTAATAAACGTGCAATTTATTCGGTGTATTTTCGTTGAGAAAAAAGCATTTGTGCAGTGATTCTTGTAGTTAAGTAAAGTGGGTCATTGCAGCGTGTAGCAGCGGCATGCAGAAAGTAGCCTTCTATAAGAAAAAAATTAGTATTATCTTCGCTCCGTCATGGAGAGTCTCATAGAGGGCCTCATTGTATGGCTTTTTTTATTGTAAAAATGTTACAAGTGAAATTAATAAAAAAAAAAAAATTTAAATAAGAATTTTTGGGTTTTACGCACAATGTAAGAACCTCAAACTTGTTGTTTGCAATTAAGGCTTAACTAATCGCCAAAGGGGAAACAAACCCAAATGGGTTTAATATTTAACCACCACTTTCTCACAATAGTGCCCTAAAAATTAATATGTTTTATTAAGAGTTTTTGAAATATTTATATTTGCATATATGTAAATCGTCTGTAAGCACATTTCGGAATATTATTGTAGCGCACTGCAATACTTTCTTGATACTTGAGTTTCATAAAATTATGGTAAAAAAGAACAGCAAAGTGTTAGAACTACAAAAAAAAAAAAAAAAAAAAAAAAAAAAAAAAAAAAAAAAAAAAAAAAAAAAAAAAAAAAAAAAAAAAAAACGAATAACAAACCACTGATCTTTTATTTCGCTCTTGATCGTTTTTAAACTGATTGAAATTAGAACAAAATAAGTCGATTTATCGATTTAAGAAAGCATAACGGCAGACTTCAAGAAATTTTACTATTTTTAAAATTCATAGATTCTATATTGTAGAAAATAATTTCGTGACCAATAATTTTTTTTGAAATCAGTTTATAAGTTGGTTTAGTTATAATTAGTTTAAGTTTTTTATTTCACTTTTTTTTTTGTGGTAAACCTGTCTTTTATAAAAGTTGATTTTGTTTTAATAAAATATTGAATGAGTTGCTGTTTATTATTTTAAATTTTTTTGTAGTTAAACCGCATTTTTGTAACACTATATTTTGTGTAATTAAAATTATTAAAATGCTCGATAACGCACAGACATGTATATTTGCTTCCGCCAAATCAAATTTTCGAAAAACATTCAATATTTATTTGCATATATTTTCACTCAATAGCCCTTTTACTAAAATACCTTATTTTAGATAATGAGCTTTCGTTTATCAAAAACTTTAGTTTTTGAATTTTATAAGTAGAAATATTTAAAAATTTTAACGAGATTTATTTAAACTCTTAAGTTTTACTGGTAAGCACATAAAATAATATATTTGCATTTTTACTTCCACATAAATTCCATAGGTATGGAAATATTCTTAATTGTAACAATTTTGCACAGTTTATATTCCGATCAACATTTTTTTTTTTTAATTTTACAAAAGTTTTTTTGTTCTTTAATTGATTATAATTTAAATTTGTCACGCATAAATCATTATTAAAATATTACAAAAAAAAACAATTTTTCAGAACCACCAAAATTTTTTTGTTTGTCATTATTTTTCAATTTCTTTTAGTTTTAATAATTTTTGAACAAATTATTCACTCAAAGTTTTTTATTTGCAATTTACTTGGAGCATTAATTCACTTTTGTTAAGTTTGTGACAATTTTTTTAAGTACAAGTTTAAGAATTATTCCAAATAATTGGTTTCTCAGGATCGCTCTCAAAAGTAATTAGTATTTGCTTATATGTCAAAATGTTCGTTTTTGAAAAATTTATAAAGCTTTGGCATTGACTTCGTCTTTTTGTATAATATTAAGAATGATCTGTGTGATTTGAGTTTGAATCTGGTATTTTATTACACTCGGTTTTTTTTTCGGAAAGTATGACCGCAAATTTCTAAAAATTTATTTTTTTTTAGAATTTATAGATTCAATATCGTGGAAAATATTAATGATTTATTTTTTTCAGTTTTTGTATTTAAGTAATCTTAAATATGGAATTATAGTCAGTCTTTAATTTTCAATTTTAATTTTTTTTAATATATTTATGCTAGAAACAAAAGTGGCATGATTAAAATTATTGACATGCTCGATATCACATAAATGCGCAGGTTTATTTGCTTGCGCCAGACGAAATTTTCAAAAAACACTCAATACTTATATGCATTTATTTTCATCCAATAGCTCTTTTATTAATAAAACTCACCAGAAACTTCACTTTGTGTCTTTTTTAGGTAGAAATATTTGAAATTTTCAGCAAAATATTCACTTCAATTATTAACGAGAATTATTTGAAAGTATATTATTTTAGAAAAAGAATTAATAGGTAAAACAAAAGAATTTTATTATTAATTTTGAAGTGGTGTGCTGATAGAGAAATGCGTTTGATTAAATTCACCTCCACATAATTCCATAACTACTTATATATTCTGAACACACTTCGATCATAAATTTTTTGTTTTTTTAATTTCACTAAAGTTTTACTTGTATTTTGTTTCGTTGATTATTATTAAATATGTTATATATATACATGTATAAGGAATTTATGCTTAAAGCATCACTAAAACGTTTCAAAAATATTTTTCAGAATCACAAAAACAGAAATCAGACCATAAGTCGTAAGTTTGGATCACTCAATTATTTAATTTATGCGAGACGAACGAAATTATTTTTGTATTTTTTTGTGCGCATAAAGAAAATTGGTTAGTTAATATTTTTATAAGTGTAATAAGCAATTTTTTGTATAGTTTTATTTTAATATTTTGTGTTTTGTATTTTTTTTATTTTTCTCTTTTTTAATATTTCATAGTTACTGGATTTCAATTTACATAGTTTTCACGTTTCACACATAGAAATAATTATTATTAGCCTAAAAGCCAAAGTAACCGTGTTTGCAAAATTTATGAAGTGGTTTTATTGATTTCAGTTTTTTATTTCATATTATGAATGATATGTGTTATTTAACCTTCTCAAAC